ACTAGGGGTGTAAACGAATCGAATCGAAGCGAATACCGATATATTTGAATTTGTATTTGTTTAGTTTTTTCGAATACGAATCCGAATTCGAATATGAGACGAATTCAAAATAAGATTTGAATAAATATTTGATTAATATTCGAATAGTTATCGAATCATAAACGAATATTTGAATAATCATACTATGTAATTTATATGATGGACCAACATCAATTTGTAATTTAACTTACGATACTCTTTATACTATACTATATTCTCTATATAAAAACATTAATACATTTGCATCTTACACAAATTATATTTTATAAAATATAACTATTAAAAATCATATGCTTTAGATTTTTGTGTTACGTTAATTTATTGAATTCTTAGTATTTTAAATACACTTGATACTACTCCGTATATTACTTTCTTTGACTTTTGATGTTGAAAACATGGTCTGTGTATATATGCATATATTCGAATATTCGAATATCATCCGAATCGAATATATCCTTATTTGTATTTGTATTTGATTAATATTCGAATCAAAAATAATATTTAAATTTGAATTTGTATTTGAATAACGCGAATTCGAATCATCATATTCAAATACGAATCGCGAATCGAATTTAAAATATTTGATTTGTTTACATCCCTATTTATGAGTAAACATTAAGTGTTAGGGTTGAGGTATCAAAATTGGCTCAGGTTTGTACACGTGAGCAATAAGTTTTCAAGTCCGTATGATGGAAGTGAAGGTGTGGTTTTGAAGGCAACTCACACCAGTTTGTGGCGTGGAGTGGTACGCCTACGTGTATTTCTTTCTGCGTGCAATCTTTTTTTTTCATCCTTTTTTGGTCTTTTTTGTTTCAAATTTCCCTTTTTTTTAAACAAAAAAAAGCAAGTGAAATTTGCACTAAATAGGACTAAAACATAAGTCATTTTTCAATGTAAGACTTACACTTTTTTATTCTTTAAATAGGAGTTAATAATGTCTAGTGAGAAGAATAATGTCCAAGTGATGTTGGACATTTAGTTGAATAATGACTAATAGATAATGAGGGTAATAACATGGGTGCCCCTATGGTTTACAAAAAGAGCGTCAAAACCCTCATACTTTCAAAAGTTATTTGTAAAATCCCTGTAGTTTTAAAATAGTGCACAAACACCCCCTCTTGCCTATTTTAGATATGAAATGACATTTCTGCCCTTGGTTTTTCTCTATCTTCAAATTCACTCTTTTCTTTACATTTTTTGTTATACAAATAAATAAAATAAAATATACGCCCTCTTTCTCAAATTAAAATTTTTCATTTATTTAATTTTCAAAAAATAATTTTTTTAGAAAATGTTACAAAAATGAAATTAAATACAATTTTTCATTATGAGTAAAAATAAAATAAAAAATTGGATAACATATACTCACTCTATCCCTAATTAAAAATTCTAACTTATTTGTTTTTTAAAAGTAAAATAATTTTTTAAGGACTTAAAAAAATGAAGAACAGAAAGATGAAATAAAATATGGAGTTAAAGAAAAAGACTATTTTTTATATTTTTATTTCTTTTCATTACCTTTTTTTTAACTATTATTACTTTTTACTTTGTACATAACATTTTATTTTTCATTTTTTTGTAACATTCTCCAAAAAATCTTTTGTTTTCAAAGTACATTATGAAAAATTCTAATTTGAGATGGGAAGCGTATATTTTATTTTATATATTTGTATAATAAAGGAAATTGAAATTGAAAAAAGTCAAGATCGGGAAAAACAAAGGACATAAATGTCATTTTTGCTTTAAAAATAGGTAAGGGGGGCATGTGTGCTCTATTTAGAAACCATAGGGACTTTACAAATAACTTTTGAAAACAGAGGGGGTTTTGACGCCCTTTTTGTAAACCACAGGGGGCATCCATGCCATTAACCCATAGATAATTACTAATGGTTCTACATTGGAAAATAAAAACATATGGTCATATATTGAGAAAGTCATTATGTTTTAATCATATTTAGGTAAATTACCCAAAAAGCAATACTCTCACCCTCCCTAAATGAATTGTATTCTCTGAACAACATGCTAAATCCTATACTTTTTAAGTTTATTTTATTTATAAATTGATATAGAAATATAAATATGATTCATACATTTAAAAACTACGGAGTATATCAAAAGTACTACTCCGTATAAATCATTTGTCATCAACTTTTGATTGTTTGTTCTCTTGGCTGGCTAGTCCCCTTCATCCGTTGTTCGCAGTAAATCAAATTTTGTCCATGTTGCTTGCTTCTGCTTCTACTTCTATTTTGGCATTGCTTAAGGTCTGCATTCGTGCTCTTCATGTCTGAACTTGAGGGGATTGTTAGCAAATATATTAGGTTTGGTGTTAATAGGCTCCGTGTCAGAGGGCTCGTAATTAGGTCAATCTTGTACTTATTATAAATAATGGGTTTATGTTTAATAAAATCAAGCTAAGTAATCATAAAACTCTATATATAAAGAAGTGATAAACTATTTTATTTTATCAAATGATCAATAAAATATGTAAATAAAAAAAGTGAAATTTGCACTAAATAGGACTAAAACATAAGTCATTTTCCAATGTAGGACTTAAATTTTTTATTCTATAAATAGTACTCCCTCCGTTCCGGAGTATTCGTCCAGTTTTGACTTTTGGAACTGTTCATCTAAGCACTTTGACTCATCAAATTCTCTCAATGTGTAAGCCTAAATATAGTCATGTGTGATCTTGTTTGATTTGTCTTAACATATAGATTATTAATATTTAATTTCTATAATTTTTTAATATACAAATTACAAGATTAAATGGATTAAAGAACTGTATTGGATGGTGTGTAAAAATAAAAGTGGACAAATACTCTGAGACGAAGGTAGTACTTAATAATGTCTAGTGAGAGGAATAATGTCCCATTATGGTGGACATTTACTTGAATAATGAATAATGGATAATGACCAATGGTCCTACATAGAGAAATAAAAATATATGGTCATATATT